TGGGTGGGAGAGGGGTGGGCAGTACTCTCGGCTTTGGTATTCACCAGGCTGTCTTCCCTCCCAGGGGGATCAGGATGATCGTTCGTACAAGCAGTGCCGGACCTCCAGCCCGAGCTCCACTGGGTCAGTCAGCCTCGGGCGTTACACCCCGACCTCACGGTCGCCCCAGCACTACAGCCGTCCAGGTACTTGGCCCCCATGGCTTTTTTTTTACCCCCGATGAAGCGTTCTTCTCGTTGCTTTTCCTCTTATAAATCTGTCTCTTATACACAACTGGGACAATGGCTGATGGGGTGTGAGGTTGCCAGGAGGTGATGGAGAACCCATCCATTTGGCAACATAAAGGACAGGCCCTCTCCTGTCCAGGTGGAGAGGTTACCTGCAGAGGCAGCTGGTTAACCTGTTGGTTAGAGGAGCCTCAGGCCACACTCAGCACTCAGAATCTAGCTAATGTAAAAAGTGCTTCAGGGGAAGAGATGTCAGGAAGAGAAAACCACATAGACTGGAAGTCAGCTCTGAGCTGGTACGGGTCTGGGAACATTAGCGCTGTGAGGGCAAAATCAATGGCCAAAAAATAGAGTCAGAATACCCATCGGCACTTCATCTGTAGCTGGGTTGGTAGCCCCAAGGACAGCCATCCCCTGGGAAAATTGGTGAGCGGCCACTGCCAGGCCTCTCCAATCAGGCAGAGGCCCCATGGAGGGTCCTCTTGACCCCATTCCACCTCATTCCCTGCCTGGCATCCCCCTGTGTACTGCTCTCCCTTAGCTTCCAAAACTCCTTGTCACCCTCAGCGTGGCAGAGCTACAGGGACACTCCACACACAAAAAGGACGCTGCCTTTTTGAGGGATTTTTCCAAGCTGCTTCCTCCTTGGCCAGCTGTTGCATGACTCCATTTTCACATCCATGGGCTACAACTCTTATTTTTGCAGCCTTGTGGAAAAATCAAAACTCATTCATTGCAAATTTATTTTCATTAGCTTCCTTCAATGTGCCTGGTACATTCTACTCAAGGATGGAGGTTTGGAAATGGATGAGTGAGTGAATGAATGAGTGAGCGAGTGAATGAGTAAGTGAATGAATTAGTGAGTGAGTGAAGGAGTGAAGGAGTGAGTGAGCAAGTAAATGAGTGAGTTAGTAAAGGAGTGAATGAATGAAGGAGTGAATGAAGGAGTGAAAGAGTGAG